GCCTCAATTTTTTTTTAGTAAATAATTTATTTTTTACATAAATTATATTGAATAAAAACAATTATATTTATATATATAGTTTTATATTAATACGGATCAATATACTATATAAATAATATATATTACATATATATTCATGTGGTGTTGTAGTGGCATGGTAGGGAGAGTGTGTTGCTAAAGGTGTAGAAGGTAGAAGGTCCGTGGTTTGAATATCAGAAAAAGCAGAAAAGTTAGTTTTTTTTTTTTCCACCGAACAACCTTTGGCGACTAAAACTATTGGTCGCCAAAAGTGTTTCTTTTGGCTACTAAACAGTTTGGTCTGCGTTCATTGACTATTGGCGACTAAAACATTAGTTGCTAAATGTATAATTTTAAAAAGTAGAATTGACTATTGGCGACCAAAACTTTGGTCGCTAAAGACTTGTGTTTTTGCCGACTAAAACCTTTTTGGTCGCCAAAACCAATCTCAGAAAAAGCAGAAAAGTTAGTTTTTTTTTTTCCACCGAACAACCTTTGGCGACTAAAACTATTGGTCGCGAAAAGTGTTTCTGTTGGCTACTAAACAGTTTGGTCTGCGTTCATTGACTATTGGCGACTAAAACATTAGTTGCTAAATGTATAATTTTAAAAAGTAGAATTGACTATTGGCGACCAAAACTTTGGTCGCTAAAGACTTGTGTTTTTGCCGACTAAAACCTTTTTGGTCGCCAAAACCTCCGGCGACCATGTTTTCGCGACAAAACCGGCAATTAAAAAATTTAGTCGGGGAAACTAAAAACAAGGTTTTTGGCGACTAAAAGTGGACTTTTTGGCGACTAAATTTTTAGTCGCCAAAGGTGATTTTTCTTGTAGTGACTATTTCCTTGGATTAGTAATCTACCCATGTGATAGGACTAATAAAGTCTGAGAATGTTGGGATTAAAAATTGAGTGAGGGGATTAGTGAATTTTTAAGTGAAAACTATATTTTTTAGAACAAAAAAATAATTATAATATTAAAAAAAATACCAAAATTAATTTTATATACTAATACTATCTATAATATTATTAATCCGATAGTATACAATCAAATACTCTTTATCTTATATTTCTAACCTAATACCAACACACTAATAATCTTCTCACTCAATCTCATCGTACTCTTATTTCCCTTTATCCTATGGAGCCAAACTGACCTAGAATTGTTCCTATGCAAGGAAGAGATGCCATTCCAAATAGCAGATTAAATGGTCTTAAGCCAAGATTTTAGTTTAGACGAGGAGGAGCAATATTAAGCCAAAGAATTTATCTAAGCTCAGACCAAACCCTTATCTTTAGCTTAAGACCTTTTTAAAAATAAATTTTTTATGTTGCTTTTCAATTGTTAAGTTGGTTTTTGTTGTTTGGTCTAAAAAAAAAAATCATCATGATTTAAAATTAAATTACTAACAAAAACTATAGGAAGAATCATGTGATCTGATCTCACAAAATCTTGACAATAAATAGAGTTGAGATTCCCTTAAGTCCAAATATAATTTGAGAAAACTTGAGAGACTAGTGGAGTCACATGAATCCCGTTTTGATTATCCAAATTATTCATGAAAAAAATTAAATCCATTTGATAATTATGTATTCTTTTTTCTTCGCATTTATTTATGAAAAGTTAACGCTAATAATTGTTAACATTATGAACCATAAAAATAGGGTGTTCACATTGTGTATCACGTGTACATTTATATACTAGGCATAGAATACTCCATTAGCATCTATAAAATTGAATCATGTTCTTCCAATATAGATAAAGTGGAAATTCAAATACCCTTTGTTTTAATTCTTGCACAGTGTACACAAAGATTAGTACAAACCAACTCTATAAATACATATTATGCAGCAAAACACATAAACAAGGCATCAAAAATTATTTTTTTTCTGCACCATAGCCAAAGCCACCATGGCCTTAAACAAACTTTTCAATTCAAGCGAGCAACGATCGATAAGTGAAATCAGCGATAGACAAACCAGCTTCGGCATGGATTCAATTTTTGGTTCAAGCCGTGATAGTGAGAAGCGATGGTGGACACAAGTTAGCAAAATCCTCGAGAAAGATCAGGTTAAGGCTGTTATATATAAATTTTATTACATCACTTATTGTGTTCCGACCATTGTGTTAATTACTCACTTAATTCTCAGTTAATTCTGTGGGTTTCACTAATTAAAAACAAAGCTTTATTTCCTCAAGTTTTGTTGCAAATTAAATTTTCAAATGGTTACAAGTTTCATAACAAAATCAATATCGCAAAAATATGATTTGAGATGTGACATGTTCTAATAGATTTTTCATAGATTTAAATTTTTTTTTTTTTTTCACAACTTTAGTTCGTGACTTAATTTAAGCCTCCTAGTGACCTTGAACACTGGACAATGGACGATGTGAGCAAATTAAGTTTTATCTCGGAATTATTTCACTCTTTAACACTTCATGAGGGGAGGGAAAATAATTTTAAAACAGTGACAATGCGATTCTCAAACTCTCAAAGACTTCTTAACTATCCATTTGTTTTGGTGGAAAATGTTTTCTGTAAAAACAATTTTGGAAAAATTTTCCATAGAAAACTTTTTCCATGTTTGGTTTCTTAAAATTAATGTCCTAATAGTTGCATTAGTGGTAATGGTAGTGGCGGCGGTGGAGTGGATGTGTTGGGGATGGTGGTGCAATGGTGGTGGTAATAATGAGGTAGAGATGGTAGTGACAATGACTGTGGGGTGGAGAAGGTGGTGGCAACGACGGTAGTGATGGTGGTAGCGGTGGAGGTAATGATCGTGGCGATAGTCTGGTGGCACTGATTGGTGTCAATTTTCTAAAAATTGAATATTTTATTTTTCATATTTTTTTATTTTTAGTGTTTTTTTTTTAATATTTTAAGTAAATTTTTTACTTTTTAGATACGCATAATCTAGAGATACCTAAAAAATAAAATATTTATAAAAAATCAATAAATACATAAGAATACAAAAATATACTGAATTTTCATAATTTTTTTTTGATATTTTTTGTATTTAAATATTTTTTTCATAAATATTGTACTTTTTAATTATATTTATATTAAGTGTATCTAGAAAGTTAAAATTTTGTTTAAAATATTAAAAAAATTTACTAAAAGTGAAAAAACACGAAAATGACCAAATGGAACGTTAGTAAAACTCTTCTTGGTTTATATTGTCTATCGATTCTATCATAATATTTGTACTAATATTGTGTTTATTGTTTTGCTAGACGAACGGTGTCCATCCTGTTTCGATCTTTCGTGTGCCTAAACTCTAAGTACTTTCAAGCCTGATGCTTACATGCCTCTGCTCATGGGCTTGGGTCCATACCATCGTTTTTGGCCAGAGCTCTATGAGATGGAGAGGTATAAGCTCGTTGCAGCAACTAAGGTTAGAAGAGAACACTTCCCAACCCGAGAATTCTAAGAACTTGTCGATACGTTGAAGGAGAAAGAAGACGAAATCCGATCTCATTACCACATGTACTTGGACTATGATGGCAATACACTATTGTGGTTTATGACCATTGATGGTTTGTTCTTGCTCGAGTTTCTTCATACCTGCATCAGTAAAAAAGATAGACTTTCATCATCGTGGTCAAGGAAACCTAACTTGTTCGAGTCTGAAGGAAGTAAATTTGCTAGCCACTCTATTCTCCGTGACGTAGTGATGCTTGAGAATCAAATTCCAATCTTTCTTCTAGGCAATATCTTTGACTTCCTCGATATAGATAAAAATGAGTTGCTTTCTATGGTGACGAGTTTTTGTAGTGAAGTTTCTCCGTTCAAATTGATAAAAAAGGATCTCTCATTATCGGAAGTTTACAAGCATGATCTGTTAGGCTTTATTCTTGGCAACCCCGTTTGACAAAACTCCTTTCAGTTGTATTTATTTCCGCACTTTTATTTCAATGAGGCTATGAGTGTTTAGATGCGAATCCAACCCGAATTGTGCCTTTCAGAGAAGTTTGTGATGCTAATGTTTTCAAGATTACCACTTCGCTGATTATGACAGGGATCGAGCTCCCCGATCAGCTCGCGGGGGTCCAGGGGGCAGCGCCCCTTGGCGAGTCTGGGGCAGCGCCACGGCGGGGTCGAGGGGCAGCGCCCCCGAAGCAAAATGCAAAAATGCATTCCAAGTTGCTTGTCCGCTCGAGCGGACATTTCCCCGCTCGAGTGGAGAATTCCTGGTTCCAGCAGTTTTGGTCGCCTGTAAAAGTACTGAGATGTGTAATTTCACACTCGAGCGGACCTCTGTTATATCACGCGCATATTTTGCTAAAGCCGCTCGAGCGGGCAGTTGGGCACTCAAGCGGAGATCGCGGGACAGATTCTATAAATTCGCGTATTGCGTCAGATTTTAGGATTACTACTCCAGATCTTCTTTTTGGGTTCTAGGATTTATATCTGGGGATACTTTGTGAATTTTCTTTGATGTTTTGATTGAGTATTCAACTCATGTTTTAAAGAGTATACATCAAAGGTTTTGTTTGTTCTACAAAAGAGAGAGTTGTTCTTCGGTGGATTCTGAAGAATTCGAGCCTGAAACTTCGGTGGATTCTGGAGTGGCTCATCGTAAAGACAATTCCGAGGTGAAGACGGGGTTGGAAGAGACACATAGAGGTTGGTTCAATTAGGCGTGGATTCGCTAGGTAATTGAAGACGGGGTTGGAAGAGGCACATAGAGGTTGGTTCAATTAGGCGTGGATTCGCTAGGTAATTGAGAGTATACCTGTGTAATTCCTTTAAATCTTCTTAGTGGATTGTTTTGTGGCTGTTGCCCGTGGTTTTTTAATCACAGTTGGAGTTGTCCAATTGTGGTTTTTCCACGTTAAAATCGTTGTGTTGATTTGTCTTGATTGTTTGATTGGGATTGTTATATACTACTTAAAATTGTTACATAATCACAGATCAATATCTAGGGGATTTCTAGATTTTTCATGATCATTTGTTGAAACTTCTGTACGATTGGATTGTGATGAATGTGAAGGTGCCTAAGGAAGCCAGCCCTACTAATATGCCAAGTGGAGCTCCGTGCCCGGAGGAGGAAATACACCTGAAAGTCGATTCAGGTTTGCAAGTTCTTTGCTTGCTTTTGAAGTTGTCATCTAATCTAAATATTCCTTTGGTGGGAAAAATTACGAAACCCATTAACATGACAGTAAATTTGCCTTGGGCGACTGCAAAAAGTCTACCTGAGATGTCTAGAATGGCAACAAACCTCAACGAAGGCCTTAAATCTGAATGTGATGTTTTGGGAGAGGACATAACAAATCCCATTGTAGAGGAAATAATGATTCCTTCAGTGTCAACCCTTTGTAATGTTGGAGTGGAATTTTGTCTCTCCAATGGTGATATTAGCAGCATTAAGTTTGACAAGAAGAAGAAGAAGTTTTACCTCCCTCACCTCAAATTGAATGTCAACTCTGAAGTAATCACTAGAAACTTGGTTGCATTCGAAGCTTCGATATCAAACTTCCTTGTTCTTGGACGATACACTGAGCTAATGAATGGGATAATCGATACCGCTGAGGACGCAAAATTGCTTAAGAAAAAGGGAATCATCGAATACAGTCTAAAAACTGATGCTGAGGTTGCCCAACTCTTTAATGGGATAACTAGATCCATTCGACCCTCAAAGGTGCCATATATTGATATCGCCATTGAAGATGTCAACAAGTATGACTTTGGTACAAGGAAGGTTAAGGTATATATGTGTATGAAGAAGTATGTGTATGGTTCTTGGCAGATTCTTACTCTTCTTGCTGCTGTTTTGGTCGTGTTGCTAATGGGTATGCAGTCATTTTGCTCAGTTTATAGTTGCCCACGCTTTTTTAACGTTAGCAATGATCTTGGTAAGTGATGTACTATATCAATAACGAGCAAATACATGCTTAGTATTACTCTCTCTCTCTCTCTCTCTCTCTCTCTCTCTCTCTCTCATTCCTAATATTGTTACCAAATATGTTAGCTTTGATGTGTTTTGCACTACTGTTTGCTTTATTGTTGCTAGCCTTAGTCATGTAACGTTTCCTTGGTGATCAGTAAAGTTTTTTGCCGATTGTAAAAAGTGTGTGTGTAGTCTTGCTGTAATTGTTATTAGTAATGAGAGGATTTTACAATATACACCTTTTATCAGATGTATTTTTAGTTAGGTTATTTTTTTCTTTTAATTATGATATTATTTTGAGATATTTAATTATGCTTCATGTAGTGTTTGATTGTAATTTTTTTTTTAATTATGACTCAAAAAGTATAAAATTATCTCATTTTTTTCTTTATTTATAAACTACAGTTGCAAAAATGCATTCCTATACAAATAAATTTTGTGTACACAAATTCTATAACAAATGATCTGAAATTTTGCAGTCATTTCAATTCAAACAAAAATAGGTACCATTTAATATGAAAATTTTTTATTGCCCTGACATTAATTTTGAATTGATTTTATATATTTTTTAAAAAAAAATAATAGCCTCATTTGGTTTGTGTTTTAAGATATTTTTCCAAAAATAATTTTTTAGAGAGAGTTTAGAAAATTTGAAATTTTGTTTGGTTGTATATTTTGAAAATAGTTTTGGAATTTGTGTGAGAGAAAAAGTGAATAAAAATGAGAGATAATAAAGAAAAAGTAATTAATTAATGTGTAGTAGAAAGAAAAGTGATTATGATTTTTTTTTCTTTTCAAAATTATGTTTTCATAGAGAAACCAAACATGCCCTATGTGTTTGGAAATTATGTTGTATTGTTATAAGGCACTCAGACAATAAATCCAATTTTAAATTTTTTGTCAAAAGGTTCACGCATTAAAATATTATGTTCATAAGGATAAGTTTTTACAAAATGACCAAAATACATACTCTTATACATACATGAATATGTTGAAATTGACCCATTTCTTCAAACCATCTCTCTCTCTCTCTCTCTCTCTCTCTCTCTCTCACCTTCAACTCTTAATATCTACTTTCTTTTCAAATCCTTTGTTACCCAAAAGACAATCTAAGAGGGGAGTGAATTAGGTTTTTATAATTAAAATTAATAATACCCTAATAAAAATTATGACTAGCACAATAGATAAATGTAATTAATGAAATAAAAATAATTAAAACAAGTGTCTTAACAACTATGTCAGTTAATAATTTTGGCACAGTAAAATGTGAAATATAGCTATGGCAATTTAAAATAAAATAAATAGATAAGGGAGAGAGAGGCGAACAAATTTATAGTGGTTCGACTTTAACTCGGCTTACGTCCACTCCTCAAGCTTCACTTGAGATTTTCCACTATACTCTAACTTCACAGGGTGCTAGCAACCTTTTCACAGATGGAGCAATTCTCCACAAATTTTACACTGACTTTCTAAGTCAAGAACACTGAGTGTACTACACTCTTACAAGGTTGAAAATAAGGTGTTTTTGTTTTCACAGAAAGTTACAATAATTATCTCTCAAAGATAGATATAAAAATGAAGCTTTGGTTTTTCTGTAAACCTTACACAGGAAAGATGAGCTTAATGCTATAAGGCTCAGTGTATAATTTCTGAGAGAGGATGTAAACAAAAATTGAATAACACTTCTCAGAGAATTTTTCAGAGAATAGATGTGAGTGATTATAGATCAAAGAATATTTTCTGGTTTTTTTTGTAACTTGTTAAATTACAGGCTTTGGTATATATAATGAAAATTATAGTCGTTTGTAGCCGTTGTATTCATTTGAATTTATAGCCTTTTATAGCCGTTGTAGTTATTGGAATTTATAGCCGTTTATTGCCGTTGTACTCCATCATTACTAATTTAAATATCTTCCACTCCATTATTACAAATTTGAATATCTTCCACTTGAACATTTTGAACTGTTGTTATGCTGGGCTGTTTGAACTCCTGATTTAATCAAATATTAAATACATTCTAACAACATTTAGGATAAAAGTTTAAGTGAGAAATAATGGGACAAAATAAAATTTGATTTTATTAAAACATAAAATCATCAAAATAAATGTTGATTATATTTTTCTCTTTCAAATAAATCATCAAAATAAATTTTGATTCTATTTTTCTCTTCCAAATAAATTAAAACATAATTAAATAAATCATCAAAATAAATAAGTCTAACACCCTCCATGTCTCTTCCTTCTTCATTACATCCATAGCAAGGAGATCAGGGCTTGGCTCAATGGCAACGGTGATCATCATTAACACTCCTGCTAAAGATCTTCTCACTGTTGTTGCGACTGATTCCATCTCCGATCGCTTTCAACCTGTTGCAAAGAAGTTTCTAGTAACTCTCCGAAGGACATATGGATCTTGTATCAATAACAGGGACGTGAACAACATGTTCACCCATGCATTTTCCTTCAGAAACAAATCTGTGGCAACCCTATTACATAATATGCCTTTATTAATCTAATTTTGAATGTTACTTATGTGTTTAATGTGATTTTGTGTGCATATATGTTCATTGTTGGAATATCTATTACGATTTCTGTTTTGAATTCAAAATTGAAGGCATTAATGGTTTCAGAAACCAAAATTCATAAGTTCAATAAGGACATCATAATTTCTAGAGCCTATTGAGAAGTTTGATTAAAATTTGATTCAATTTAGAAAAATTAAGTTTTGAGTAAATTAAGCTTTGTTTAATTTGTTTTGGGCCTTGATTAATTAGCCATAAACTTGTTTAATTAACTTAAGCTAATCACAAGTCTATATACATGTTTTATGAGAGCCTTAGGCTCATTCTTGAGCTGAAATTTGTTGGATAAACTTTGTATAGAGAGAGAGAGAGAGAGAGAGAGAGAGTGAGAGTGAGAGTGAGAGTGAGAGATTGGAGAAGAACTTAAGGATTTTGCATGAGAAGCTCAAGATTGTGCAAGGATAGGTGTAATTCAAGGCTCTAGGTAAGGAATTGACCTTTAATTCATGAAGATAATTCATCTAGCTCGTGTAATTAAGAAGAGATTGTGCTTGTTTATGAACAATTTGAAAGGATTTGGTTCAAAGATGATGAAAAATTGTAATAGCTTTACATGCATGCATGATTATGTTAAGTTTTGCCATGTTGAATTTGAAGCTAATTTGCCCATACATCACTGATTTCTAAAGCTTCAAGAGTTTTACTTCATGAATTTGAGAGTCAAGTTCATATTTTGAAGAGTACAAAAGAAAAGAGTTTGCAAATCTTCATGAAGATTTTGAGCTCAATTTTTCTAAATTGATGAGTTTTGAGTAAAGAGTTTGCAAATGATCATCTATTTATGTTTATTGAAGAGTTTTCAAGCTAAAAGAACAAGCCACGCATGAGTTTTGCTTTTGAAAAGGTGTTTGGAAACTCAAACTTTCAGTTTTGAAACTCAAAATTTGGCCTTATAGCTCGAGCGACCAAGTTATCGCTCAAGCGCACATACCATGCCTCTGGTATTTTTGTAGAGCATTGCACATGGCTCGAGCGACCAAGTGACCGCTCGAGCGACCTCAGTTTGTTTTGCACTTTGGCTTGAGCGACGATCAAGCCTAGTTCAGACCATCTAGTACTTTTGCAGACCATATGGTCTACTCAAGTGACCAATGTTGCACTCGAGCTAAGTCCCCTGTTTTAGCATATTTTGAAAAGTTATATTCTGTTCATATTTGCATCCTCTCTTCCTTCCAAGCATTCTTAGACATGAGTTGGGCCTCCCTAATAAATCAATGAGTTAAAATGAGACTTAAAAAAATTCAATAAATTAAATGATTCAATTAAATGATGATGCAATATTTTTATGTGCATTATTCTGAAAAGTGTTACGAATGTGGTAAGTTTTTCCAAACCTATGATTTTGTGTTATGAATAAGCCTTCTATCTGTCCAAACTACGTAATATCTATAAATGCGATTGATAGGATAAAAATGCACATGTTGGACCTAAGGTCGTTCTGTATATTTGAAATGGACCCAAAGTCGTTTTGTATAGTTAATAAGATAGACCCAAGGTCATTCTGTACAATTAATAAGATGGATCCAAGGCCATTCTGAATATCTGATAAGTTTGGATATATGTTATGTGTGGACCTAATGGTCATTGTACAACTGTAATTGATTGCACCCAAGGTCGTTCCGCTAAGTATAATTTGTTCTATTCTGTACTTCTATATAAGTTGGACCAGAGGTCATTCTGTTATGTTTTAGACTCGAGGTCGTTCCGTTATGACAAGAATTTGGGTATGAGAGTAATTACGTTATGTATTAGAACTCATTCATATAACCTCTTTACTTTGATGTTATTCATTGAATTTTAGCTCACTCTGTTTTGTATATCTATGTAGGTGAACAACGGGATGTCTAGCCTTAGAAGAGTCTGGAGTTTACCGAGTTTTGTGAAGTCAACCCTAAAGCGCCTCTCGAATGAGGCTTTGTTCCTTTTGTTTTTGTTGGTCATGTTTGACCACGATTTGTACTTTGACCCTTAAGTGTTGCAAGATAATATTTTTTACTTGTGTGGAATGATTTATGGATATATGTAATGTTTTTATATATTTATGATCAGATTTGAGTTATTAACGTATATAATATTTTTGTTTATGCCACTTATGCACAAGTTCATTGGACAAATTTTATTATTCTGCTTCCGTTTCGGGCCCTATATAAATATGATTTGAATTCTATGTGAGGTTGTAGGTAATCTCATGATTACTGGCTGGTTATGATTCAAACATCTAATGGCGGGTTTGGGTCATGATAAAGTGGTATAAGAGTACGAGTTAATAACTCATACACTTGTCCAATTAAGTAATAAGGTGTCTAAAAAAGACTTAAGGATGCATTCATCTAATGAGTATATGTTTGTGTGCATTGAGATTATGCAAATATGTGAATATGTGAGATATGA